AAAAGTCGTAGCTAATGGTTTGTTAATAGCGAGAATTGAACCTTAGAATAAAGTGTGACCACGAATTCTATGATAAAAGTAGTACAAGTCAACATTTTGAATTTAAGGACTAAGTTTTTGTTATGTATGTGTTAATGTAAAATAGATCCTTGAATCAAGCGCTATGACAGTGAGTTTGCTATTTGAATAAAAAAATAATCACATGGTCAATTGCACACTTACAACAGTGGCTGCAATTAAGAAAGTGAAACCTTTGCCATCTAGCTAAGATGAACAACAATCCATAAGACATTGAAGACCTTCATTATTAGAGGTAAAAGGCGCTGTGATGGGTGGAACTCATCTACTGAAAGCGGAGCATGAACTCTGCATGAACCTCATTACACTCAACAAAAGCTGCAAGAGAACAGACCCAATAATGAAATGAACAGCTTCACAGATTATTTGTTAATTAAAAAGGATAAAGTGGAAATAACAGTAAGTGGATTCGAAACATGAAATGCTCAAGAAAAATTGAGAACAAAATCAGTCAGGAGTCTTTTTCCTTGCTTAAGTAATAAATCATCTACACTGTGTTTTTCCTGGTCCTGATGGCAATGAACATGTGAAATGTGTCTGTGACATCATGAGGAAGACATTTTAAAAGGTTGGTGAGGCGTGCAGCACTGATCGATAAAGCCATCAGCTCAGAAGTCCATGGGAAGTTATTTATACATTATTTAATGAGTTCACAGTGCTGTGCATTTATGAGCAGCATGTTTTACGGGATAGAGACCTATGGCTTATGTATGTTTACTATCATGTACTTAGTGCTACGCACCATTTCACTGTGTTTGCATAAGCTAGCTGGTTCATGAATCCTTTATCACAGAAGAGCACAGATTTATTGTTTGAAGGCTACACCTGAATTTCCTTACATTTAGTAAAAGAGAAGAGGCGGAATCCAATCCACAAAGAAGTGACAGAGGACCCAGTCATTTAACCTATAACACTAATCTTCCACAGGAAAAACCTGCTACTATAGTGCTGCTACCACACAGGACATCAATATATTCAGCATTGTAAAAAAAAAAAGGCCAAGTTTGATTCTTGGCTTTACTTCCACTGAAATACTGCAGTAAGATACGAGTCAGGTTGTTCGTGCAAGCCATCTCAAAATATCCTAGATCTAAGACAGATACTGCTGCCTATCTATAATACAGCTCAGTAGTGACGGATGAAGCTGTGAGGCCAGCGACTTACAGTCACAAACAACTTTTTATTCTCAAGTTCTGTAGAGAATCATCTAAAGTATGTACTGGAAGAACCCAGATACCAACACACCGATCTGAAGAACCTTAATAAAACACCAAGAACTTCATTAATCTGCAATCAACCATTCAGCAACCTAAAATTCGCACACAACCCAAAACTGACATTAATTATAATACAGTGAATCAGCGTTACTGGGTTGTTCCACATATGTGACCCTGGAGCACAAAAGCAGTCTTAAGTCGCTGGGGTATATTTGTAGCAATAGCCAAAAATACATTGTATGAGTCAAAATTAAAGTTTTTCTTTTATGCCAAAATCATTAGGATATTAAGTAAAGATCATGTTCCATGAAGATATTTTGTAAATTTCCTACCGTAAATACATCAAAACTTAATTTTTGATTAGTAATATGCATTGCTAAGAACTTAATTTGGACAACTTTAAAGGATATTTTCTCAATATTTAGATTTTTTTGCATCCTCAGATTCCAGATTTTCAAATAATTGTATCTCGGCCAAATATTGTCCTATCCTAACAAACCATACATCAATGGAAAGCTTATTTATTCTGCTCATAGATGATGTATAAATCTCAATTTTGAAAAATAAGAAGTGACAGAGGACCCAGTCATTTAACCTATAACACTAATCTTCCACAGGAAAAACCTGCTACTATAGTGCTGCTACCACACAGGACATCAATATATTCAGCATTGTAAAAAAAAAAAGGCCAAGTTTGATTCTTGGCTTTACTTCCACTGAAATACTGCAGTAAGATACGAGTCAGGTTGTTCGTGCAAGCCATCTCAAAATATCCTAGATCTAAGACAGATACTGCTGCCTATCTATAATACAGCTCAGTAGTGACGGATGAAGCTGTGAGGCCAGCGACTTACAGTCACAAACAACTTTTTATTCTCAAGTTCTGTAGAGAATCATCTAAAGTATGTACTGGAAGAACCCAGATACCAACACACCGATCTGAAGAACCTTAATAAAACACCAAGAACTTCATTAATCTGCAATCAACCATTCAGCAACCTAAAATTCGCACACAACCCAAAACTGACATTAATTATAATACAGTGAATCAGCGTTACTGGGTTGTTCCACATATGTGACCCTGGAGCACAAAAGCAGTCTTAAGTCGCTGGGGTATATTTGTAGCAATAGCCAAAAATACATTGTATGAGTCAAAATTAAAGTTTTTCTTTTATGCCAAAATCATTAGGATATTAAGTAAAGATCATGTTCCATGAAGATATTTTGTAAATTTCCTACCGTAAATACATCAAAACTTAATTTTTGATTAGTAATATGCATTGCTAAGAACTTAATTTGGACAACTTTAAAGGATATTTTCTCAATATTTAGATTTTTTTGCATCCTCAGATTCCAGATTTTCAAATAATTGTATCTCGGCCAAATATTGTCCTATCCTAACAAACCATACATCAATGGAAAGCTTATTTATTCTGCTCATAGATGATGTATAAATCTCAATTTTGAAAAATTGACACTTAAGACTGGTTTTGTGGTCCAGGGTCACATTATGTATCTCTACTATTTACAACCATTACAGTCATTAACATACTCTAAAAAAACAACCTCTAAAACAACAGGCAAACAACTGCAGCTTGGCACATGAAATTTACAAAATGTACTATTCTCAAGTTACAAGCAGCTGTCTGCTCATTCTCTCCTCACATCAATCATACAGGCTCTTACAGAGAGATCGGTGCTCAGTGTTAACTGTGATTGATAGAATCACAGGCCTTTGAGTGATGAGGTAAATGTAAATTACTAGTACAATAAAGTACTAATGCAATCACATGTACAGAATGTGCCCATGATGCATTTGTCTCTCGTAATATTTCTGTCCTGTTCTTTCATCTCTAAAAAATCTGCCGCGTATTTCATCAGGCTCAGAATCACGTTGACTACAGCTTCCTTGTTAGTCAGCTGATCTGCTGTCTGTTATTGATTTAGACTGAAATTTCTAACACAACCGATCGCATTTCCATTTCAGGCCTGGACAATTGATCACAGTGCTCGCAGTGGGAGGGTCTTTGAGCTTCCCAGCAGCACTTGCTTCAGAGGTGAAGTGAGGTTATGAAGATCGAATCGTTGATCACATCCGGTATGAATCATAATTCAACATGAATGAAGCTGTGAGGGGCAGTGGGTTGGATTGTTGTGTACATTGAAGAAGAAATGCGTCCAGCAGACACAAAAAAAAATCAATAAAGGTATAGTAGTTCAGCACAGCTCTATTTTCAATCACATCAAAATAAATATGATGTTCAGCCTGACTAGGGTGCATTCTCTATTATAAATATTTCTCAATTACAAGTAAAGTGCAAGTTTTTTTGTGTAACGGGTTTACTTGAGATCTCCTAACAGATGCCTGGGAGATCTTGATTCTGTAATTGCTTGGTATTTAACACAAGCAGCCGCCTTAAACTTTGACAGATGAAGTGAGATAATCCAATCCTTCAAATGGATTAAAGGGCTTGGCTGAGATAAATCAATAATATCTGCATGATAATGAGCTGTGACCTGCAGATACATGCGCAGCATCATTATCAGACTGACCTCAGGAAACTTCTTGCAGGATGACGGTGCATCACTGCACACTGCTAAAAGTGGCAAAAATTAATTAATTAATTAATAATAAAAAAACAGAAGAGAAAAAAAATGAAGGGAGGGAGATCCGAGATCCGAGAGTGGAAGTCTGGCAGTCCTCCAGCCGTTATAATTCTTCAAGCTCTCAAAGTCACGGTGGAGAGCGGATAGTATTACTGACGATCACCTTGCTCTGGAAGGGTATCGGCTAGTCTTTGTGGAGACTCTGACCTTGAAATGGAGCAGAGCCAAAAGGAAGTGTCCTCCTCTCACTGCAGCACTGCTGCATTATCATGCATTATATGTGCCGTGACTGGGGTCTGATGTAACTCGTGTGGGCAGGTAACCGGTAGTAGTGTTTAGATTTCACACAACAATCATCAAGCAGCTTCAAAGGGTCGTCTGCGTCACTATCAACGCCCATCTCAGTTAGTTACGTCCAGGGCTTAGTCACAGGAGCGTGCCGCACAACTGACAAGATACAACACGTCTGCTTTGAACTAACAAAAGCACTCACATCCGGCTCTTGCCTCACTATGAAACATTGTTTAAATGTATAAACAATTAATGTTCTTTGATCCTGTATGAATGGACAGAATGTACTGACAGGGGTTTGCGTAACCATTTTAGTCATTCAACATCTAGAACTTCACCTACAATTGTAATATGCATATGTAGTCAAATATGTGACCCTGGACCCATAAGGGTACATTTTTTGAAATTGAGATTAATAAATCACCTAAAAGCTGAATGAATAAGCTTTCCATTGATAGAATAGGACAATATTTGGCCGAGATACAACTATTTGAAAATCTGGAATCTGAGGGAGCAAAAAAATCTAAATATTGAGAAAATTGCCTTTAAAGTTGTCCAAACAATGCATATTACTAATAAAAAATTTAGTTTTGATATATTTATGGTAGGAAATTTCCAAAATATCTTCATGGAACATGATCTTTACTTAATATCCTAATGATTTTTGGCATAAAAGAGAAATTGATAATTTTGACCCATACAATGTATTGTTGGCTGTTGCTACAAATATACCCCAGCGACTTATGACTGCTTTTGTGCTCCAGGGTCACATATGTGATCACTGATGTGAACACAGATTGTACTTACAGGTCTTTGGAACAATATCGTTAGATTCCAGAGTTTGAGATGGATACTGGTTTGCAGTGCCATTCTGGAGGGGTTTGAAGGTACTCTTGGGGCTGGGTGGAGACACAGAGTTTGTGTGGACAGTCACTGCTGCAGTGGGCGTAAAAACGGGCACCTTCGATGAGGGCGGCTCAAAGGGTCTGCCCGTGGACTCCCCTTCCACAAAGACCTTGGGCTGTCCTGGGACAGACGGAGTCGACGGGGTGGAAGGTGAGACTGATGTGGAGTTCTGAGTGAAGTCTGAATTGATTATAGGATCCTGTCCGATGCGCTTGAGATCAAGGTGGGTCGGCGGCTCGTATTCGAAGATCTTGTCCACAAAGACCCACTTGAGGCCGGCGGTGCAGAGGGCAAGACTTAGCAAGCAGGCCAGGATGGGCAAGATGCAGATTTTTTCAGAGCGGATGCAGCTACTCACCCGCTCCAGATCGAGGCACACGCAGCATGCAGCCACAGGCAAAGGCATGCATCCCAGAGGACCACTCTCTGAGCCGTCGCTGCCCCCCGCCACGTCCTCCTCCACTTCCTCGGGCGTCTCTTTCGTGGCCACCTCAGACAAGGCATCCGAAGGAGCCTCTTGAGATGCAAGTCCGGCAGAGATGTCCTCCGCCGCTTCCGACTTCATCTCCGCCCCTGGTTCGGTCGCTCAGAAGCAGCTGCACAGGACTCCTCTAATGCTGCGGCAGGCATGCTGCCTCGTAAAGTCTTCTTTCCATTATCAGATCAGCAGCGAGGGGGAAGGGACTGTACACGATGCTCAACCGACTAACCTCGTTACTAAAGAGGAAGACTTCCGTGGCTCTGATTTCTGTCGCCCGGGTTCGTTCTCACAGAGCAGGAAGAAAAACACAGGCAGCCAGTCTATAAATAAGGCATATGCTCCGGAGGCCGCCCGAGGGTGGATCCCGCCTCAGAGAGCGCTGCACTCACCTGGGGGCAGGGCTGGAGCGCCTGGGCTGCGGTTCATGCTCTGCAGAAAACGGCTGAATCATCCGAAAGCGGCAGCAGGTGCATGTCCGATCAAAGCACCTACTCTTGGAAAGACTTGAGCACAGAACCGCACGCAAGCTTGAGTAGAGGATGACACACACCCCTGCTTTCACCCCTCCTCTTTCTCCCTCTCCTTATCATCACACCAACACACACGTTCTGTCTCTCGCTGTGTCTGCTGTCTCGATCCTCTCACACTGCGAACACTGAGCACAGAGTCGGGCAAGTCTGCGCTTGATCCAATTAGGAAGAACAGCAGTGAATAAGACAGT